CCATTATTTCAAATTAAGAGTATTCATATGGGAACATGAATGATGGCAATTATATCAGCAGAGTTACACTGGACAGATTTCCCTATGATAGATCAAATGTATGTTTTGTCATTTCTTTTAAGGGCTGCAAAGGAAATAATAAACAAGGAAGGATTTAAAAGGAACAGGACATGAGTTGGAAGGACAGAATAAATAATGCAGTCCTAAAAACAGATCCATATAGGATGTCCAGGAAAAGTTTTGGAAATGTAAGCAGGCAGAGGCAGTGAAATGTTGAATTTGATAAACATGTCAGGAAACAAAATCCCGCAGTTTGGTTTATGGAAAGAATCACAAGCTCACACTCCACACAGGAGAAAATATTGAGACTATTTCCTCATTTGAAAATAAGTAGAGCTTGTCAGATTTTAAATTCTGTAACTTTAAATAATTTCTTAAATTAATCAAAGCATACATTGGAAAATTCTCAAAATCCCTCATTTTCCCTCTCCTTTTGATTTTGAACATAATTTATTTCTCAAAATAAAATCACATGGATAAATCAAAAAGCCAGATATCACCCTGCCTATTTTGTAGAGATTTCATTTATGTCCTCCCCCTCCAAGAATCAAAGTCAGCTCTTTATTCTGCCACACTGTATTATTTAATTTCATTAATCATGTAACGGGTGGCAATTACTTAGTGTCACATAATGCTCTACTTTTAGTGCTACCCAAGCGGCATTACACTGTAGTTTAGAAGTTATATTTGTCACAAGGCAATTTATGATGGCTCACAGTTTTCCATTTATTTCTGAATGCCTTGTGGAACCGGTGAGGCTCATAACAAATATTTTACTAGTGCATTCTGATGATTTCCTAGAAGTATATAACCATATGTAAATTACCTATTTGAATCTCCTCCCTTCAGCAAAAGCCAAGTTTATGGCCACATCAATATTTTTCCCTACATTACCATCTGTGAGTGGGCAGACTACTCAGTCTCTGTGGGCAGTATTTCTCCAACAGGTGCATCCTTTGTGTATGCCTAATGCTGCCTTTCTGCTATATTAGAGAAATCAGTATTCAGCAGTGAGATTGCCAGAGATGATTCTTAAGTTATGTGATCTGTATCTGAACACATGCTGAGAGAGACACAGAGATAGTAGCAGGTGGGAGAATCTAAATAATTCTCTGCCCTGGCTACTCAAGGAACCACCATCCCAAAAAAGAGCTATCTCCTCACACAGGAAGAAGCACCAGGACACAAGGGCAGGTTGGGGAACACTGAAAATGCCATCAGAGAAATGAGATCTCTCCCTGCCTCCCCAGGCTGTCACAGGGGAGCCCCAACCCCACGGGCCAGGCACAATAACCAACACCATAGGGGAGCAGCTGCCTGGAGCACCTCCCAGACTGTGGGGTGTCACTGCCTAGGGATATGGGACACAATACAGGATGCAGCAGAAGAGTATCTTGGGATCGCACGAAAATGTGTCACGAGATGCACAAGGGAGGAGGCACAGGCAGGAAAAAGGAGGGATACAGGCCAACTTCTGGGTATACTGAGGCTGGTTCCTAGGGGGCCTTAGTGTGTCCCCTCCGTGTGTGTGTTGGGTGTCTGAACATGGGTCCATATCCACAGCCTGAGTGGTGCTGCAGCCTCAGGGCTCCTATGTCCATGTGCAAACAGCTGGGATGCAGGGAGCAGCTACAAGGAGACTGAGTGTCTGATCCAGATGCTCACTGAGGACAACCACATGGTGTACATGTACATTTATATATTCCCCTAGCGTTTTCACCCTGGACAGCCAGAGGGGAACAGGGTGAGGCTGTTGGTGCAGTTTGTGTTTCTGTTGGTGTCTGTGCTGGTCTGTGGGGCCAGCTGTGTCTATATGCTTGTGTGTGGGTTCTATAATGGTGTTTGCAGGTGTTACTATTGGGAATACAAGCCCAGTCTGGCTATTAGTTGGACCTGAGGGCGCAGAGCTGCAGCAACCCCCTCTCTGTTGAGCTACTGGATTTGGATAGCCTAACCAACGACCAAGAATTGAACTTGCAGAGTCAAAATACCTAAGAGTAAGAAAATGTAGGATTATATGAACTGAACTTCTCCCCTTACTATAGTATTTAATTAATATCACACACTAACTTCCTCTAGACCTTTATGTCATTAACTACAGTAAGTAGTTTTTTGGAACACCTTTCACTCTTCTCATTCAATATGTACCTCCAACTCAGCAAAAGTAAAACTATCAGTTTCTCAAGGATAGTTGAGAGTATAGGTTGATGGTTATCAAGGACAGTTAATACAGTCCGTAACAAATGGTCAGGAATCTGGTTTACAGCCTTGCCAGGTAAGGAATTCGAAAACTGTATCACAGAATCACAGAATTGCCAAGGTTGGAAGAGACCTTAAATATCATCTAATCCAACCATCAATGTGGTCCAGCTGACACCCTTCAAACTTGTTATGCAAACACAAAAGCTATCACTTATACCTACATCTATTAAACTTTGAAGAGACATTTTATTTTTTTACAAGGGCAGAAGAACTCAGAGATGATGAAACTTAAAGTACTTATTTTCAACTAAATGGATATAGTATTTTCCACTCTACAGATTGCCTTTATCTGCAGAGACACTGTCACAATCTAGGAAGGAGACACAGGTGATCTGTGAATACAAAAATAATGAAAATGATTGAGACTGCTCCTTTTCTGTGAAGAAGGCAAAAGTTGAAATACTACCAGCAAGAAGGAATTACTGGTCTTCAACTTCACAAACACCCTTTCACCAGAATCTTGGCTACACAGTCCTATATTATATGAAATTATTTGAAGAAAGGGTCTCACACATTATTACACCCTGTAATTATTACACCATCTGAAAGCATTATCCTAAAGATTTATTTCACGTTGCCTATGTCCTTGCGAAGTAACACTTGTAATAACTTTGCAAAGAGGTGCATTCAACTATCACTCCCCTACCTTGAAATTTTGCTTAATGAGGCCTGTCTTAAACAGGCTAGACTCCCAGGGCTTTTTGCCAGCCCTCTCTACATCCTAAGTTTTCATCTACACCTGCCAAAGGTTGATTTATTTCTGCGTAATAATTTTTTTGTGTGTAATCACTTTCCAGTGAGCAGTCATAAAGACTTGTATATAGCACTCTATTTACCTGGCCAGCTGTTTTTAAGGGTTTTTTTTAAAGATATTTTAATGTAATTTTTAAGTTTTTTTTAATGCACAAAAGGGCCTTCTGATAGTAAGGATGATACAAATCTGGCTATAACACAAGATATGGAGTGGAACTCCTGGCAGCCTTGATTTTTGTTCCAAATCTTTCCCATTCTTTCCACAGACAGGCACAAATACTAATTGTGTACAGGCTTACGTAAAACTCTTCTGATGGCTTTAGTGCAACAAAGAGCAAGCACAGAGAGAGGCTCCCACACTCTGTGCACATACCCAGAGATGAAAGTCTCTGAGAAAGTTTTAAAGCCTTGTTCCTCCTGCTCTGTATATGACTATAGAAGGAGATAGAGAGACAGTGTCTTTGACCACATAAAATATCTGAGTTCTTGATTTCATTACCCCTTGTCCACAGTATTTTCCACAGACAAAATAACTCCTGTTCTAAAGCTCTTCCTAAATGCAATGCTAAATGGCTCTCTCCTACCAATGAAGGATGCTGAAAATACTGTCTCTGGCCATGAAGCAATACATGCTATCTACTGAAAGTGCCCATTAATAGCTTACTCGTTCTTCTCCTTCCATTTCACTTTAAAATGAAAAAAAGAAATACAAACTCTCCAGATCTCTATCCCTCTCAAAGTCCAGTGACACCCCTTTCCCATTCCCTCTTCTTCCTCCCCACAAATTATCAGCTATACATAGAAAGGCTGTGTGGTCAATTCCGCTACTGTTGCCTGCCCTGAGCAGCACTGGTTCCCATTGCTTGTGGCACAAACACATTGTGCTGTGGCACAAGCACATAGGTAATCCTTAGACTAAAATGCCGGGATTCTGCATCTTTCTCTTAGGTTGCAACTTGTTTCTTTTCTGCTTTTGTCATTACCACTCTTGAAATAGCGGGAGATGCTCTGCACAGGGTGAGCAGAATAAGTATGCGTCCATGATACGGCAGCGGGAGCAATCACTTTCCTGTGATGCCTACCTTGTCACTTTCCTGTTCACCAGGAGATACTTTTTCTGCCTTTCCAGGGATCTCTTCTGATTTCATTAGCAAGACAGTAAATGAGCCAAGTCCTAATAATCAGCCATCAGGCAGCCCTGAACCTCTGTAGTCATTTGGAACAACTGATCATGAAAAGGTGCTGGTGGAAACAAGCGGTGTGAGAATTAAGCACCCAGTAAAAACGAGTGTACGACTCAAGAGAACGGTCTTTGATGTACTTATCTGTGTTATCACATCCGATAACAATCAGACCAACATCTAGGGGAGAACATCCTTGGAGCTCTGAACAGAAGATCCTCTGAAAATCGTCAGGATCCATGAGACCCGAGTCATTTCCAAAGGACAATTCTGTTCACAACAACCCCTCCCAAAGCGTTGCCTTACAGTTCATCACATTTGATTACAAGGATCTGTTATCTCTGTAATCACTGAGGACATCGTTTTGCCAAGACCCCTGACTCACTACGATAATCAGTCGCGCACTGATCTCCTCTCTGCACCGGCAGTGCCAAGTCAGTCTCCCCCGGTTCTCTCTCCCCGGTGTTTGCCACCATACCTGTGGCGCTGGGGAAGGGAACATCTTAAGCTCTTTGCCTTCAAGTGCCCCCGGCAGGGGAGGGGAACACCCCCGGCGCACCGCCCGCCGGCCCCGCAGGTGCGCCCCTCTCGCCGCTGGGGGCGGCTGCCAGCGGCTCCCGCCGGCCTGGGCGGAGCGGCGGCGGGCAGCGGGCTCGGGAGGCGGCTCCCGCCGCTCCTGCGGACACGGCCCCTCCTCCCGGCCCGCCCCTCCCGCCGCACACATGTGCCCGCACCCAGCGGCGGGGCGCGCCGTCGGGGCGGGCGGGCGCCGTCGCCTCCCCGACACCGCGGCAGCATCGCGGCGTGCCGGGCGTCCCTCGGGCTCGGGGAGCGGGTGGCCGCGCTGACGCCGCTGCGAGCCATGGCTGTCGCCTACCTGCTGGGCAACGGGTCCGCGCCGCTCCTCGCCGGCGCCCTGGAGGTCCCGTTCGCCGCCAACGCCTCCGCCTGCCGCCCGCCCGGGCCGCCCTGCCCGGCCTGGGGCAACGCCTCGGCGGCGCTGGGCTGGAACCGCTCCGAGCCCTGCGGCAGTGGCAATGGCAGCGCGGGCGGCGGCGGGCCCTGCGCGCCCGCGGGCGGCGGCCCCTCCGTGGTCACCGCCATCGCCATCATGGCCCTCTACTCCGTGGTCTGCGTCGTGGGGCTCTTCGGCAACTTCTTGGTCATGTATGTCATCGTCAGGTGAGTGCCGCCCTGCCCCGCCCCGCAGCCCACGGCCGCTGCCGTCGGGGCGGAACCCCGCGCCGGGAGCCGGGACGCGGGACGGGGTCCCGGCGGGGATGCTGCGGTCCCGCTCCGCCGGGCAGCGCGCACAGGGGCACGCTGCGGGCTGCGGACGGGCGCCGGCCCCCGCGGGAGAGGGAAGGAGGCTTTTGATAAAGAGCCGGAGCGGGCGATGGGGGGAGAGAAACTTGCGGTGGAGCCGTGAGGGGCGGCCGGTCCGACAGAACCCGCTGTGCGTCCGAGGGTGTTCTATGGACCCTCTGAGCTGCAGCACCTCTGCGAGCGGCTCTGGCCAACGGGGCCTGAATCCCGTACCTGTCCCCTAAGGAGCGAGAATTTAAAGGCATTGTAGCCACTGCCTGTGAGCGTGTACGGGTACGGGTTGGCACACGGATAGGGATGGTACACGGATAGCCTGCACGCATCCTCTTGTCTTCCATCCGCCTCTCCCAAATGCACGAACAAAATGTAAATGGTACCGCGGTGAAACGCTTCTCTGGCCGTGTTTGGAGATCCTCTGCCTCGTGTCTAGATCTGTATTTGTATATTGAAATACATTTATATATGTATAGACATACACGTGTATAAATACGTGTGCCGTGATCGCGACCGCTTTCCGTGATCCCGGCGTTCCGGCTGTGTTGCTGCACTTCGCAACTTTTTCACCCGCAAAAGAAAAAGCCCCAAAAAGCCCCCAGTGGGGCTGTTACGGGTCAGATCACGCGCGATAAATCCATTGCCCGTAAACGAGCGGAAAACGAGTGAGAGGGAGACGAAGGAGGCTCCCCGGCCGGCCTGGCAGCGGAGCGGAGCTGGGCGGTGGCTTCCGTGGGGGAACACTGCCACCTCCCGGGAGCCACGGGCCGGGAGTGGGACGGCGGGGCGCGACAGGACGGGGCCGACCGAGCTCATGCCCTTCGTGCCTGCTCGTCGTTTCCAAACCAAGCATCCATTGAGCCCTAGAGCGCTCAGCGGGCGCTTTGAAGGGGGGAGACGGGGATGGCCCAGGGGCGCACTCCGTTCCTATCGAGGCAGCCCCAGAACTTCCAATTTCCCTCCCGTCTGGAGCGCCCGTTCTCCCTTCGAGCTCGGGGCTCCTCGAGGAATCGGGGCCGCAAGAAGCGGGGCTGTCTCTTGGCCTCGCTGGCAAACCAGCGGCAGCGGGCGGCTTTGTGGTGCCAGCTGTACAGAAAGCCGGGGAGAGGTGAGGGTGGCGGTCACGGTGGGGTGTTGCAGCAGGATGGAGGATGATTCCTTCGACACGCGTTAGGGATGTCACTGCAAAGCCTGTACACCTGGTGGGAACACAAGTAATACCCACCAGTGTCTCAGACTAGAGCAGTTCAGAAACCTTGTGGGTTTAGCTGTACTTTAGAGGGTGCATGAACAGAGCTGGGGAGATTCTCTTCTGTCTTGTGGTTTTGATCAGTCTGAAACTCAAGCTGTCTGTGAAGATTCATCTGCAGAAAGGCTTCTGAGTGGGGGCATGACTGCAATCACCATAGCAGTGCTGAATGCATTCCTCTGGGAGGAAAAGCAGATGCACAGTGTAACAGAGACAGGAGAGCTGTCAGCAGAGAAATATGCCACAGGTTGTCCCTGGAATTATGTATTTATTATCCTGGGCACAACCCATGCTAGGTTCATATTTCTTACAGTAATTAATTGAATTACACTTACACCACAAAGCCAAATCGAATGAGGCACTTGTATTTAGATTTCTATCTAAAGAAAGCATCTTTCCCTGAGATCACAGCTTAGAAACAAAAGCCAGAAGCAATAGGCGAAAGCAAAAATATATTTTCCTTTTCCAGAGGAAAACGCAAATTAAGTGGCTTGTCCAAAACCATCAGCAATTTTATGGCAAATCCCACATTTCCTGTGTAAGAACAGCTTTTGGTATGATAGAATTCCTTCCCAGTTAATACCACGCAGGTGTTTAGCAATTGGGATGACAAGGAATTTACATGCTAATGGCTGAATAGGATCTGTGGCTTAAGAAGTATAAAAATACAGTCCCTTTCTGTGCTTCTCTGTAGGTGTAGTGTATCTGGTCATCAACAGAGGACTTAGTGATTTAGCTTGACAGTGTTTCAAATCATAGAATATGAACCTCTGAAATGGTGACCCTATGTGCTTACATTCATTCCTGGTATCCAACATAAGAGGCCAGAGTTTTTCTGGACTGAATTTGTCATCATATGAAACTCCCCTTCTTTATCTGCCTTTCCCATCATGCCTGCTCAGAAAGAACAAAACATTGAATTTCAAATTAATTGTGAGAGGAATTGAAGCTATTAAAAATTAAGATTTTTAAGTAATATTTGTACCTAGCTTGTCTTGAAAATACTAGGAATTGGGAGGTAGGCGCTTAGTTATTTGAAACTGTCCTACTCGCCTTTCAAAGTCCAGCCCTGGTGGAAGCAACAGTGACTTCAGATCAAGTGTGCTGCATGCTAACATCTCACACTTGGTTTCTTTGGAAATAGTTTTAAAATAATTATATCATCTTGTAAACATTATTACTCTTAAAATTTTTCCACAAGGCAAATCCAGGGGTTTGGAGCCAGAGCTGTGCAAGTGCCTGACACTATCAGTATCAGGGGACTATGACTATCGCTCCACAATGCCACCCTGCTGTCCCTGCTGGGGAAAGCAGAGATTAGAAAGCTGATATGTCTAAGGAGAAGTTAGAAATGTATTTTGATTATCAATGTGAAAAGAAGGCTCTTCGTGCAAAGGAGGTCCATGGATTTCCAATTTATACACATTACGTTATAATTGATGCATTCTCATCCACTCTCCTCATTCTGCCAGATGGTTTCTGTTCAGCTGAATGCTTTCATCCTTGAATTAATATTTACATGTTTGATATGTAGTGTGTGTGGTTAAACCTCATGTTACTTACACTGATCTGTTTCCTTTCTCAAGTACCAAAAAAATGCCTTCAAGTGACAGCAGTAGTAATTTAATAGGTTTTACTGCCAGCTATAAATTACCTGGTATCTGAAAAATGTGTAGATAATTTTTATTTTCTGTTTTCCTCATGTGCTCTGTTTAAATGTAAATTACTAATATGAACACAATGTTGTTATGGCTATATCAACAGCAAATGCTACTTCTAGCTGCTGCAGAGTACAACTAGACAGTGTACAATTAGTACCATGTGGCATTGAATTAATTTACACAGTAATCCAAAGGCTTTTCCAGCTTTCTCATCGAGTCGGTGTGATATTAGTCTCACGAGTAGAGTGGAAATAAGAATATGCCTTGTGATTTAGGCAATATGCTAGAAAGCTGCAGTAGATCCTAGATGAAAATCTTAAGCATTGCATGTCTGGAAGAGAGGAGTAGCTCACAGAAGCCCCAGTCCTCCACAATCCAAATTCTCTGGGAGAACTGTAATTCCACCAACAGCCGCTGAAGCCACTCAAGTTCAGAGTGATTCCTCATTTGTTTTGCTATAAATTTTTCACATATCATAAACAAAGGGGTCTCAGGTTCTCCACAATCCTTTGTAGAGGAAGGAAATGTCTTGTTTCATTGAGCAAATGATTGCACTGCTTCAAGGAAAACAAACAAAAAAAAAAGGCAAACAGGGAAAGAAGTCGAAGTCCTCTTTCTGAAATTAAGAGAAATCTTTCTGTGTATCTCAAAACCACCTCTTAATAGTGTTTTGAAAAAAAAGAGCTGTGACTGAAGCATCATCTAATCTGGAAAGACTGTTCAGCACTGAAAACTCTGGTTAGTTCAGCTGAGCTCACTCACAATTCAGGAAAAACTGTTTTATTAAGTAGGAGGGACTTAGAGTTGAAATTTATATTGTAGAAATAATTGATATCACCAGAGGGGTAAATATTCTCACACATGTGCACAAAAGTGAAGATTCTTTTTAGAGAGAAAAAATCTGAAAATTATCACAAATTTGAAAGTTGGTGAAAACAAGTGTTTCTAAAAAATAGGTTGTTTGCAAGGTGACATGGTTTTATGGATGCAGTTTGTAAGGTGACTTTCAGCATCCTTTTTAACAGCATAGGTCAGGGAGCTTAGAAACCAAGAAGTGCATAGAATTCCTGCTTTTCTTTCCTGTCCACAATCTCATGAACTTCTCTGCATTTGCACAGCATTGCTTGGGTGTGTATGTCCTGCCTGTTCCACTGACTGCAAAGGTTCCGCCCCCATGCTAAGAGCTGGAAGCCTCAGCAGCCTTATCCAGTCATGTCAATTATGAACTAATACAGCTCACAGCACCAGCCAGAGTAGAGCTGAGGGAGCACTGTTGGGCAGGAGCAGCAGAGGAGCTGAATTAAATCAGCAGCATAGCAAGGGGGTGACCTTCAGCATCCTGCCTTACAGAAAGGCAGGTGTCCCTGTTTGCATACTGTTTGTGAGAGAGTTTACTAACCTTTGCTAGTAGGTAAATGTTTAACAAGCAAGCAGCTCCCCTCCCTACCCCAAGATGAAGGAAAGCAGACAATTAAAATGGAATGTATGCCTTTATATTTTGTTTTTTAAATTATGATGAAGACATGATGAAAATTTGACCAAAAATACATGAGGTTGCAACCTGGGGGTAACACCCATCTCACTGAGGGAGCAGAGGCACCTGAGGGATGAGGGATGAGGGATGAGGGAGAGCTCTGCAGTCCCAGACTCATCTCCTCGCCCCAGTCTCAGTGAGCTCCTGCACACAGGACAGCATTCTAGGCCCAGGTGCACAGACCCTCTGGCTCTGCTAGTGCCTACCACCAGGCAGTTCTGGACAGAAAACAACCCTTCTCACTCAATTTGCCTGTAAAAAGCTGCTTGATCCCACTGTACTTTTCCTGGAGTGACATATGGTAACGACTCCCATGAAAAAACAGTGCTAAACACTGCCTGATTTTTTTTTTTTAATTTCTTTATAGAAATGAATCAAAGGTTACCAACTTCTCAAGGCTTCAATAAGGGTGTAAACT